TTGGCGCTGTGAGCAAAGACACAGTGTCTTGTTGGTTGATTCCTACTTTGTAATCACTTCGTAAATAAATAGGATTGCATCAGCCTATTCCATCATCAACTTCTCCTCTGAGTGGAAACAAACTGCAAAGACCTGACAGTTGCCTAATCCCTCAGGTCAAAGAGGGGAACCCTGAAATACTAATTAATCAGTTAAAGTTTGTAAAATACTTTGAACAAAGAAGCACATAAGGAGCTGATGATTATTGTTATTAATATTCTCCTCCTTCCTAAGCTGTTGGAGTGGCTGGATAAGCACAAGCAAAAGGACAGAGAACGAAGACAGTGAAAGCCAATAAACACATGAACTGTTATAGTTGAGTTTCTATTTGCATAGTCCTGTGATAACATGTCACTTTACAGATTTGTATAGAGCATGGGTCCTTGGCCCAAGTCTAAATCTATCTAAACAGTCACTGTATAAACAAAACAAGCTGAGGAAACAACAAAAGCTAGTTGAACACACACTAAAAGTACACACCTTCAGAGCACCACTAGGGTGGTAGAGATCTAGTAACCTAGAGGGCCAGGTTCTGGGTGCCTCAGGAGGTGCAGTACTGCACCTCCTGTCAAAAGCCCAAAAATCAGGAGTCAGGTCCCTTAAAAAGTCACAGGATTGGCTTAAAAGTGAGTTATCTTGTTAATAATAATCTGGGACTCTCTTTCTTTGCCTTCTGATTTCAGAAACTATTGGACCTTAGGCTGCTTTTCTTGATCATCTGGAGGGCTTACTCATTCAGGCCTAGTCTACAGTCACCTGCCACTGCTACCATAGCACCTGGCAGCAGAGAACAGCCCTCCAGAAAGTGCAGGGAAATTTGTCCATCCCTGGCAGCTCTGTTGAGCTGCTGTGACATCTTTTAGGGACATTAAAGTATGTTCATGTTAGAAGAGTTGTCCCTAAAGTTGTGCAAACAGCCTGGTTGCAGGTTGGGTCTCCAGCTCTGGGTCTGGGAACAGTAGCAAGAGAGTAAATATTGTTTTAAGTAGGAAGAAAACAGGTTAAGAGGAGTGGAGATTTTGTGATCAGTGGCCAAAACTCCCTGGTGGGAAGAGGGAAGAGAGATAAAGATTATTGTGCCACACCCCCTCCCTTCTCCTTCCCCTTCCCCCTCCCCCTCGCTTCATCCATCTCTTGATGATACTCACACTTCCTTTAAAAATACACAAGGCCAGCACTGAACGGTAGTAACCCAAATACCCTGGCACTTAGAAGAGCAGAAATCTCAGTGAAGGTACCACAGAGAAATACATTCTGAGCTGTGGTTGCAGAATAGAAGCAGATGTGGCTGTGATGGATATCCACTGGGCTTTCCTTCTTTAGGCTGCTGGCCAGGGCTAGACCTTGCTGCACTCTGTAGCTCTCCAGCTCTCGGACTAACACAACTTGTACAGTCTATGCAAACCAAGGCCAGATATAATTAAACTTACCATGCCAGGCCCCTCAAACACACCGGGCAGACTGTCTCCTCAACCAGAAGCAAGATAGGTGAGCCCATGCAGCTGCCCTGGCAGACTAATTAGCATGGAGATGGGCACTGTGGCATTGCCACCCAGCAGTGCTAATTAGCTAACCTGAAGTATCACAGGGATGAGGCTAAGCTGGTTCCAGTTTAGGAGGCAGCCTGCCTGAAACAGTGGAGAGGCAGGGGCAAAGTCTTCATTAGCCCTGGCTTGGACTAACGAGTGACAGGGGACTTGATGACTCCCCCACAAGTTCAGGGGTTAGCACACTGCCTTGTTTTGGACCTGTTCCAGTAACACAGCTGACCCTAAGGGCAACAAGTATGTGAAGGTCTGATAGGTTACAAGCCAGGTCCTGTATCCTCTCATTCAGATGGTTCTTTCTAGCCCTGCTATGATATGAATAGAGTTGGGCCTGATGTAGAACCTCAGATTAGGGCACTCTTTAGTTCTGGGAACGTTTGGACACAGGTTCCTACAACAGGTCATTCCAAAACCCTGAACAACCGTGAACGTCAGAGCTGTTTGAGTTTTGCAGGTGGGGTCCAGTTCTGGCAGCAAGGTACTGGTCCTTCCAGTTACACCACTCCAATTACTCTGCTTCCTTCTACCTCTTGACTTGAATCCTGACATGCTTTTAGAAACTGTGCCCTGAAACACCATATTTCACAGTATGTAAGTCAACTATTGAAATCAAATTTTTGACTCTTTAAAATTTAACCTCGGCTTATACACCATATCACTGTCCCTTGTGAGTGGTGCCAGGCTCCGCAATTGGCTGGTGTGGCCCAGGCAGTGCTGCTCGCAGGGGATGGGGGTGCACTAGCTGAGTGCCAAACCTGGCTCTGTCTGCTGTGAGTGGTGTTGCTGAGTGCTGAGCCCAGCCCCATCCCCTGTGAGTGGCGCTGGGTTTAGTGCTCGGCAGTGCCACTCACAGGGGATGGGGATGGGTTTGGCACTTGGTTGGTGTGGCCCAGGCAGCATCCCTCTCAGGGGGGTGAGGGTGCACCAGCCAAGTGCCAAGCCCAGCACTGCTCGCAGGGGACAGTACCGCTCACAGCAGACAAAGCCAGGCTTGGCGCTCAGCTGATGGGGCCCCATCCCCTGCGAACAGCACTGGGCTCTGTACTCAGGTGGTGCAGTACAGGCATCGCCACTCACAGGGGATGGGGCTGCACCAGCCAAACACTGAGCCTGGCCCCATGGCACATGCCCACCCCTTGGGTGCCCGGCCTGTAGTGAGGGAGTGCAGGGGCCAGTATAAGTTGACCCCATATTTCTGATCCAAAAAGGTAGGAATGTCATAGATCCAATGCTGACCTAACTTTTTGGATCAGAAAAATGGGGCCAACTTATATACCGTGTCGACCTATACAGACTCCAGGTACCCCTCCTTACCTTCTGTGAAATTCAAAAACGTATTTATTACAGTGCTTACCCCCTTTGTAGGGGGACAGGGCAGCAGAGGCAGGGGAGTGGCCAGGCAGGGATGACTCTGAGCTTGCTCCTATCGTCTCACACCTTGCAGCCCCCTTCAAGGTGTCTGGCGTGCCAGGTTCAGGTTGGGAACCACTTAGCGAGAGCTAGAAAGCTGCTCTGTAGCAGCATGTCCCGGCTTCCAAACTGGACCAAGCTCCTGGCCGTCGTTTCTAGTGAGATCCGGGGGACTAAAAGCCATGTCAGATTCTGAGTGGGGTAAGGAAAAAAACCCAGGTTATAACCTAGCAATAAAAGGATCTTAAGTCTGCTGTTGCCATTGTCCTGCCTAGAAACTCTCCCCTGGCCCCATCTGAGCAAGTCGTGCCTGGCCCGGGTGATACAGCAAACCGAACTAAAAGCTGAGTGAGGCGTGAACGAGGAGAGCTGGGGGGCAGGGACGCGTAACCCCCGGGCTGGGGAGGCAGCAGCACCTCGGCTCTGCGACTGCTGCTGCTGTTATCACACAAAGCGGCTCCAGGGCTGGGGTGGCCAAGCTGCCCCATGGGGCCGCGAGTAGCACCCGGCAGGATCCAGGAGCACGGGGCGGGAGTACATGGCAGAGCAGCAGATCGGATAAGAGGGCAGGGGGAGGGGGACAGCAGAGCTGCAGATCAGAAGAAGCGGGGCGGGGAGCAGAGAGCAGAACTGCAGATCAGATCAGAAGAAGCGGGGCAGAGAGCAGACAGCAGACCAGCGGCTCGGACGGA